ATGTAATTTCTCAAATATGATTGAAAATTCCAGAAAAGGCTTTGTAAGTTCACAAAAAATACTATGAATTCTGGGAAAATACCCTGCAGGTTTCATGAAAGTAGAAGCTGCATGCTGAATGGTGATTTGTTTCGTCAAACTTCTCACACACTCCCTCTATCCAGATTTAACCTGAGCACAATTTAAAATGCTGAAGAAGTTACTCAGTACATTCACCTAACAGAAAATGCATGAAATACACCTATCAATTAACGGTAACTCGTTCAACACAGTTGAATACAGTCACTTTATTTGAGAATGTCTGTACTGTAGTCAGAGCTTTACAAGCACAGAGTGCCAAGTTTGTCAATTTTCATTTCATTTTCATTATGCTTTTCTCTTCTCTTCTTTTTGAACATCTACTTATAAAATACATGAACTTTCTTGGCTCAGAAGACTCGGAACATGGTTTCAATATAAATACCTTCTCATATTCTATACTGTATGGATGTCAAGCGACAAAACAACCCACAAGGTGTGACATGTTTAAAAAAGTGAAGTTCCACCCACTCAATCTGCAGGTTGACAAACTGAAACGCTTCTTGAGGCGGCATCTGGCACACTCGACGTGCTTTCTGAAACAGCCCATTTACCATTTTGTAGCAACAGCATTATTAGATGATAAACACAGGCGTCATTGCCAATTTTCCCTCATCATCTTCACTCATTATGACGTTCTTTGATAGCATTTGCACTGCTGGACTATCTCATTTTTGTCATACTCTTAAGACCCTGATGATGATAATGAACTTCAAACAACATTTTTTATTTCACTGCTCCTGCTTGCAGATTATTATGATGTAAAGATACTTTGGTAAAGTATCACAATAATCATTGTCTGCGGTTTGCTCAGCTGCTACCCTGACACATTCCCACCTCCCCCCATCTGTTTAATTTGAGGAGCGCTGATGTTTAGTAAATGAATGCATCCTCTGTAATTCATGGCTGTGTTTTTCATACATGCATCATATGCACATCTGTCTTAGATGTGGTTTATTTGAGGATGACCACTCCAAACGCAGTGTGAATATTTTGAATGTAAAGCTTAATTTTTTTAATTTGTGAGGCAAAAATGAAAAAAAAAAAAAAAAGACAAATGCCATTGGATCTGTTTGACCTTTTCCATTTTGTGGATACATTTTAGGGATCTGTTACTTCTTTATCTTTTGGAAATATTTTCAACTATACAGATACATTTAAAATTTTATTTTACTGTTTTAAGTTGTTTTAAGTCGTCAACATGTAGAGACTGAGCATTGATCTGACCATTAAGTTACATGCTTTTAAATGCTGCAGTTATTTTTTTTTTATCTCTTTCTTAAGGAGATTGAGACCTCACTGAAAAAAGTGTTAAAACTCAGCAGCTGTCCAAAGAAAAAAAATGTTTGAGTCTTTTTAAGTCTCCAAAATGGCTTTCGATCCATCTTGTCCAAGGAAAAGTGGTATCATTACCAAAATAGCTGAGGCACCCATAGAGGTTGGTTGTGTTGTTCAAGAACATTTAGCCAGTCCTATTAAAAGCTACCATAAGGTTGTCCCTAGTTTCTCAATTTGTTTGTAGCATTTATTGGAGATTTTCAAGGTGTCATCGTTGGGAGAGGGATATGCGAGTGGCACATCATTGCTTTTTGCAGATGATGTGCCACCGGTGCCTCATCTATAGTCATAAAATGTAGCTAATGCCTGAAATAACTGGATCCCAGATCCACGTGGCTAAAATTAACTTCTTGCAAAGTTCCTGGGCTTAGCCTCAGAGGTAGAGAGTGAAGAGCTCAGGCATCCGTGAGTAGCAGGGAATAAAGTCATTCAGTGATTCAAAATAAGTCAGCTGTGGTTGTTCAGCCACTGCAAGATGCCTCCTAGCATCCTTTCTTTGGATTCTTTCTTGGGACTTCCCACTGGGAGCAGAACCTGAGGCAGACTCAAACTCACTGGAGAGAGTGTGATATCTTTTCTGGTCTGTGAATATTTGGAAACTATCAGAATATGAAGAGCGTTACCAGTCAGAGGTATTCTTGAACTTGTTGCTTCAGTGATCTAATGGATTGATGATCATACAGACAAATAAATGAATGGACAGAAATACAGCAAAAGCACTGATTTAAGTTACTTTTTCCATATCATAGTTAAAATGGTTTTCCAGATAGCAAAAGTTTGTTCTCGTTTACTTCATAAAGGAGCAAAAAGCATGTCTTGAATTTTAACCCCAAATGTATAATTTAGGAGAACAAAAAGGTCTGCCATTCTTACTGTCACTCCAATTTTGTGTGCGAATCCATTGTTTTAAGGGCGCATAAAACTGGAAGCCTGGGGTTTAGTGTGTCACAGCAGACAAAAGCTTAGGGCAAAGAAGCCCCAGCTGCCAAGAGAAGATCATTGTTTAAGGCTGACTGTGATTAGACTTCTGAAACCACAGTAGACTGTTCAGAGATGAGAATCCGGAGCAAAAGACGGCTTCAACAAATCTTATTTTAAGACTTCAGAGGAGAAAGGGGAATATCGGAAGGGATTTTATTAAAAAAAGGTTTCAATTTCCTTCTTTTGGTGCAAAACATTTTGCATGAAGAAGTCAAAAAGTAATTTTTGCCAGGTTTCTATTTAGAACTTGAAATAATGTGAAGCTTCAATGTCTAGTTTGTACGGAGAATGCTAAGGGAGCAAGTGGACACTCATATGGGAAAGGTGTTACATTAGATTTAATAGCTACATTAACACAGTCATTTCTACAGTCTGCAGCTTTGATTTACAGTTCCACATGAAGGTGGAGTAATTTTAGTTCTTCATTAAGGTGCAATAAAACAACTAATTCTATCTGTCCAAATATATTATCTGAACACGCTCAATTTCCTCATTAGTGGCAACTTCCAGTGCTCCTAAATTACATGGAGACTAATGCGTTTCCATACTGTCCACACTGTAGTAACGCAGCTCCTCATTCCTTAGGAGAAAATGACAGAACTTGTTCTATTCCTGCTGTTTAACAGTCATGGTGCCGTATGCTGCTGTGAAGCTTCCTTTTGTAGATCAGTCATTTTTTATGGTTTCTACTTTGGTTTTAGTGGCTCACATTATTGGGACAGGATTAATCATCACTGTGACCCTTTAATAAGTGCTCTTAAGGAGATACACAACAGACCATAGGCCTGAAAATGTGCATGCATCTCACATTCTGTGCTAAGGTTTATTTAAACATATTATAACAGAAATTGAAAGTGAAACAACTCTCCATGCGGTACAACTGCCTAAAACGAAATAACGCTAAAGCTAATCATGTGTTAAATAAAACATTAGTAGCAGCAGCAGTCAACCCTTTTGGGAAATGTGGCAAATTCAGTATTAGTAATAATGAATAAAAGTTGTTTGTTTTCATGCATCCAAAAGGTCCAGAATAGCCTTTTTTTTCTTTTCTGGCAAACATTTTAAATATTGATTGTTGTATAAAATTGACCCCAGACAGGGATAGAAACACAAAATGCACTTAAAACAAACACTCTGTACCTTGCAAAGATACTCTTTGAAGGTCTCCAGATGTGATTCACGTTACAATTCTGAAAATGCATTTAACTAAGATTTTCTGTGACTAAATTCACCCAGGCATTACTGTAAAGTAGAAGGAAAAAGGTTGATAGTTGTCAATGTTTTAAATGCATTTGTATTCAGTCACCTTGACTCAATTCCTGCTTTTTACAGCATCTCTGGAGAGTAGCATCTTTGACCATTTTTTACAAAACAGCTCAAGCTTCATTGGACACCAATCTTGAACATCAATTTAGAATTTTCTTAATTTTGGGTTAGGTCTGAACTTTGACTGGGCCATTCTAAAACATGAACGTGGCTTGATCTGACCTATTTTGTTGTAACTCTGGCTGCATTTTTTCTAGGAATACCAAGGAATACCATCTAGCTTCATCCATCCCATTGACACTGAGCAGCTTCCCTGTTCCTGCTACAGAAAATCCTCCCCACATCATCACCATGTTTCACAGCAGTGATGGTGTGTTCAGATTTGTGCTGTAATACTTTTTCTCTTTGTATGGTAAAAAAAAAAAAAAGTTCTGTTTTGTTATCATCGGAGTAGAGCACCTTTTCTGTTGCTACATGGTTTGCTGCTATGTGTTGGTTCTTTTTTTTTTTATTGCATTTTCATTTGTCTTTGTGGAACATGCTGGGCACGGGAGGAGATTGTGGGTTTCATAGATAGGAAAGCAGATGTTCTCTATGAATCATGCTGTTTAAGGAGCCATGCTGCTCATGCCACAGAATGACCTGAATTTGTTTGATTAACACTCTCCCCTCCCTCTCATCAGATCCTCCTATGACCCCAGCATTGTTATTCACAATGTGGAGTTTTCATTCTATTGCTAAGCAGATAAGCTTTGTATTTGGTTTTTAGATTGTGCATTGATTTTAGGGATTATCTTTAGGAGTTGGGTTGTGGATCATGATTTGCTATATAAGCTAATTACTTATTTTAATCATTAGGAAAATCTTGCTTTTTTTTTTTTTTTTACTTTGCTGATGGTTTTCCTCCCTCTGTCAAGTTTTTGACCAACCTCTGATGTTTTGGCAGAACAGGTAAATTGATTTTAAGATATAAAAGGCAGGACTCTTAATTATTTACACTTCTGGTTTCTGAAAGCACTTTATTGTATTTAGATTTTAGTAGTAGCCACAGTTTGCAGGTCTGCAGATATGAATCTAAAATCATTTGTAAGCCATTATTGTTTTCTGGTGTTTCATATAAAACCACAATAAAATACATACAGTATTCCATTGTGGTTGTAATTTGAAAAAAATTAAGGGGCAAGAATGCTTTTGCAAGGCGCTGCAAGAAAGTATGACGGTGGAATCTAGAGACTCAACTATAATCTAAACAGATTTCTTTAAACAGTCACAGGAAAAAAAACACTTTTTCCATATGCTTTTACATATACTCTACTGATTATTATGCCCCGACTTACTGCAGTCCACCAAGTTCCTGGGTTGTCCAGTCCACAGTTGTCGCTGTACTCCAGGCAGCAGGAGTCTGGGACTCGGGTGGCATTATAAACCTCAAACCAGTCTGTGTGGTTGGTGACTCCACAGCAACGAAACTGTACAAGAAACAGGAGCAGAATTATGGAATATTAAGGCAACTACTTCAAATCTCTACTTTATGATAATACTTTATGATATGGGAGCTATACCATTTCCCGCCACCAGGAATAAGACTGATGTATTTTATATTTGCGAAACATGTCTGACGTTGGCTTCTCCTGCACATTTTTTCCAAACCTTCTTTTACAGTTTTGAAACTCACCTATTTCTTTTAATCTACATCTTTCTGCATTGTAATTGTTATGGATTTTTGATAAGAGGACATCATGACTTTCAGTGAAATCCGATTCATCAGTGAAATGATAAAGTGTCCCTTGCTGCTGGAGCACCTCCCTTCTGCACTGCATGCACAGAATGACAAACTCGTGTTAATTTACAACTTGCTCACCCACTTGATGAGTAGATCAGGTGTGCAATTTTTCAAAAACGACAGATGAACTTCAAGTATTCCCTGCTAAGATTATAAATAATTAAGGGTGTTATGACTCTCCACAGTTTACTCTTTTACTCAAAACTACAACCCTCCATAGATTTATCCAAAACTAGCACTTGATTCCTGTAATTTCCCTTTGCTAAATAGTAGAATGATAAATAGTTTTATTCTATTCTTCAAATCCAGATGTCATAAATTAAGCTTAAATTGCCTCTAGACGTTTTGGAAAAGGCCCAAAGTTTATTCTTTTCAAACATCTAAGAAGTTATTTCACAACATTTAAGTAAATTGGGAAAAAGTGTGTCATTGTGTAGAGTGAAGCAAGGAAATAAGATGGGCAGAAGGGCAACTTAGAAAAAAAAGAAGTCAATACTCCAAGATCAACACACAAACAAAACTAACAAACAAAAAAGACGATTTCAGGATCAAATTAGTACGAAAGTAGACTGAAGGAAAACAAAGTTGATGGTTTGGTGAGGAGGAATCTCACCAAACCACAGTGAGAAGCTTCAGGAAGGATATCCAAAATGTTTGACTAAGATCATATAGTTTCTGCTATTAAAATACAAAAGAAATGTATGTACACTTCTGAATGTGAAGAAATTTGAATATAAAAAAATCTCCAAATAACTTCTTGTTAATATGGCATTTAACAAACAGAAATATTTTTGGCAGTCCTAAATGATTCCAGCAGGAAAGGTGGTGTCTGATTTACAGAACAAAAGGTCACATGTCTTATTATAGTGCATGTAAATATTCAACATTAACTGTACATACACTGTCCTGCAAGTGGCTATAAATATTATCCAAGGTGTCCTTTGGTCCGAGGACATGTGCCTTATTATTCATTCAGTGACTCAGCATGAATGAAAGAGGTTTGGGAAGAAGGAGTAACAGAATGAGAGCTGCGTTTTAATGGTCTTCCTCTCCAGTAGACGCTGATCCTACAGGGATAAAAGCACACACTCATATTTGCGTACCTACGGTTTCAAACGATGGCTTATTCATGCAGATTCTGTTCATCCTGAATGCAGAGAAAATAAGAGCTCTGCAGGTTATCATCCACACGAAGCGATGTAGACCTGCATTGATTTGCATAGCAATAGATCCCACTGTCATGTCTGTTCATTTGCCGCAGACGCAAACACAAACAGCGAACCTACCAGGCACTTGATTGCATGTGGGCACACACACATGCAATCAAGAGTCAAACTTTGGCTAATGGATTAAAACTACGAGCTACAGCAATGTATTCAAGAGCCCCAAAGAGTGCAATTTATCATCTGAAGTCTCCCAAAGGGTTTTTTTTTTCAGCTGCAGCATCCACCTTTAATTCCCAATCTTTGCCTCTCATATTGTATTTTCTTTCCAGAGGAAATAGAAAAAAAAAAAAAGACAAAAGGAAAAAGCACATCAAAGTTTGAGCTGGAAACAAAGATTAGCTATGATGTTTGCATTATATTTCTTCACTGCATTTTACCACCCTTCTTAGACAAAGCCCTCTACACTTTAATTGTGCCAAAGAAGAATGACTACAGTGGTTTTCAGAAATGTACACACTCCTATTAAAATTCCAGGCTTTTGCAATTACATTCTGCATACCAAGGTGTGCACACTTTTATGCTAATACATATATATATATATATATATATATATATATATATATATATATATATATATATATATATATATATATATATATATATATACACCGCTCAAAAAATAAAGGGAACACACAAATAACACATCCTAGATCTGAATGAATGAAATATTCTCATTGAATACTTTGTTCTGTACAAAGTTGAATGTGCTGACAACAAAATCACACAGAAATCATCAATGGAAATCAAATTTATTAACCAATGGAGGCCTGGATTTGGAGCCACACACAAAATTAAAGTGAAATGTTCCCTTTATTTTTTTGAGCAGTATATATATCAGCATTAAGCAGGAAAAGACTGTAAATTGCTTACCAAAGGGATGCGTGCATGTTTGAGAGTCACTGTATGACGTTATTCATATGTTTTTTTCCAGCTGGCTTTTAAATATCCAGATCCATTCGTTGACAAAAACAATGTCACTATAATATAAATGATGCCCTCATGAGGACATGCATTGGAAAATAGTGTTTCTGTGTGTCACATAAAGTGAAACCATGTCGAAAGCAAAAATAACCCTCGTCACATTAATAATGCAGTCATAGTGTCATGTATCTCTTTTGACAGAAGAGTCTCTAACTTATGTAGCTAAATGGTGCCGAGGTTAATATTGAATGTTATGCACATATCTTTTTAAGCAACATGACCTAAGTGTTTTATCACCTCCCCAATCCAATGCACTTAGTACAGACATTTCACATCTTACATCAGTTTGTACGATCATCCAGGCGTTGGTCAAACCCACGTTGCCTTCGGTGCCGAAAAGCTGCAGGCCCTTCTTCAAATCCCTCTGAGCATAGCGATCAATCTGGAGAAAACAGAGTGAGAGGGAAAAGGGCCTGCTTTAAAAAGAGATAACTGAACAAACATCGCTATTGGCTCTGGCAGAGTTTTCATTAGATATTTCCATTTTCTTTTTCTTACAGCAGCAAATGGTTTCGGCTCAAGAGGAGACAAATAAGCACACAGACTCTCAAGAAAATCTGCAGTGCCATCTGTTAGGAAGGAACCAACAGAAGCAAACTGTTGTTCACATATATATGTATATACACATTCCTTTGGAAGACCTGTTCACTTTGTCTGTATAGTGCTCTGGGATGAGTATTGTTGGAAATTGGTGCTATACAAATAAACTGCATTGAATTTATTTTAAATTCAGTTTTCAACAAACACCGTAGAAAACCTGGAGCCATCTGTTTATGTTGTCAATAGCTGTTTTTTCAAAATTTCAGGTAAACTGACAGTAAACAAGCACAGAAAAATAATAAAAGAAAAAAATTCTTACAAGAAATCTGCCAATGAAGTCCAGCAATTTCTAGAATGACCAATTATTGAAATCTATGAAACAAATCTTTGTAAACTGGTGAATATTGATAGGGTGTGTTTGTGCCCTGACATTTCACCTTTTCTTACGGGGACATTATACAAAAACAATTAAAGAATAATGTTATAAATGATGGTGGCTTTCACAAAGGAAGTTGTTCCATATTTGGTTTGGTTGCAGTCACAATTGTATTTTTGTTAAAGTAGACTGGCCTAAATGTGTTATATGATTTATGGAAATAAAACATATATACAAAATAATTAAAAAATATACATATTCTATAGCAAAATGCAAGCAGTCTTTGACCTTTTCATCCTCTAAAATGTCAGACAGTTTTTGTTTTGTGATGTGTTTTTTACTCCACTGCTTACATAAGAAGTTCCTCAGGGTTCTACTCTGGAACCCGTCTTGTTTTAGTCTTGCAGGTTTTCTTTGTGGTTAATTTTAGCAGACATAATGCCATCAAAAATAAAAAAAACTAAATGTTCTATCAACTCTTATTAGTTTTCTAAACACCCCAAAGTTACAACTTTTTAATCTGATATATATTTATGAGCTTCACTTTACAGGAGGACTTTTTTTGGTTTCTTTCTGTTGTTTTATAATTTTGAGTTGTTCCTTTCAAAAATATTTTCTGTCCTAAACAGTGGTGAAGCTATTATTAGGATATAAAAAGCTTTTTATCAGCTCTAACACCATTTGTGCTACCATTCTTAGTCACTGCCATTTTATCCCAAACAATTTCATACCCATGTTATTATTACTATCACACCATATCAGATTATTTTAATTGTTTTTGGTTTTTGAGTACTTTTTGATGAACTACGGTATAAATACAGTAAAGATACAATTTTTTTTTAGCTGTCCACTGCAAGAGCTTTAGATATATTTCAAGCTTTCATATCACAATAGTACATTTTGATCAATGTGTGGCTCATTTTCTGGATTTTTCAAACTGAGTTCAGTAAAAAAGGGAGAAAACCAGCAATCTGCTCAGTTTCAGGCTGCACTTTTCATGTAGCATTAGAACAAATAAACCAAGGTCAGAAGTGAGGAGATCAAATTGGATTTTCATGGGATGTTGCAGAGCTGCCGTTCAATAAAGCAAATAGATGCAGTTCAATGTGGGTTTTGTTTAGACCTACACGCTCGGCCATGTGAAACTAAACAAACAAGATAAAAAACACTGAACCAAACCGGATTTTCCTGTAAGCTTTGAATTGTCAAAAACAAACTTTAAAAACTCATTGAAATACACCCATTAAAAGAAACATATTAATCAGCAAGCATCAACGTTGTGCACAAAAAAAACATACAACTTGCTAAGTCTAATTTAAATGCTGAATCTCATCTCTCAGAATTTTGTTGTTCGATAATATAAATAATTTCTTCCTCCTACCTCACATTGCAGTCTGATTCTTCCTGAATACATTTCAATCTGCTGAGACCTCATGATATTTCCGTTTAAATCAGTCAGTGAACAAATAAAAAGGCTTTTAGCTGCAGATTCTAAATGAAACAGAGCTGGAGTTTCTGTCCACAAAGCATTACTATTTACAAGTAGGTCACATTTATGACAGGATTCCCCAAATATAAAACTGTAAATGTGCCAAATAACACAGCGAGTCACCTCAGGCAACGGAAAAGCAGACAGCCAGCAAGCAAACGAGGATGTAAATAATGAATACTTAAAGTACTTGCATATTTGCTCTTGTGAGATCACAGTGTTTGGGGAGGATGTGTGTCTAACACTTTCTTTGGTTTGCTTTCGGAAGAGGTTTCTTTCCTGCACTCTGTGATGCCAGGAAATTTCATCATGTCAAACTAGTTTCCAAATGCATTTGAGAATGGCTTTATTCATTGCAGATTTATCAAAGATCAATACCATCCCTTCAGGCATGAGTTTGGAGAAACTGGTGGCTGGTGTCAGAAAACTGAGTCAACAGCCCTTGGGAAAGATGATCCTTGTGTTTCAGCTCGGTTTATTCGTTCTTTATTCTTTCTTTAGAGTCATTACTACATCTACACACATGCATTATTTACCTTTACAACAACTCTGACATCACTGAGGTCACCTGAGAGTTTACTGCAATCCTTTAAATAACACTAGAAAAGCTCTGTTCAATAAAACAGATGTAGAAATGTGGGAAAATGCAATCCAACGAGAGAGAGATGAACCGACAGGGTCAGTGTAGAACAGTCTTTAAAAATGCTAAGTCATTCTCAGTTGAATCAAGGAACTTTTCAACTTTATATTTTACTTTTAGTAAACATAAATGTAAACTTTTAACTTTTAGACATTTTTGGTTTGTATTGTTTCTCGGCTGCAATGGGAGCAACAGGAATTCATCGTGATAATGAACGTCTGACCGACAACAGCTGCTTTTCTTTAAGCCTGGATAATGCTGGCAGAATATTCTCACAGAAACTTTGCAGACTGTATTTAACTTTACTTCCAATCTAACTGAAATGATAAATAAATTGAAACCTTCTTTGTTTCAAAGCTGACTAATTTATTTTATGTATTGTCTGACTGGAAAGGGGTAGATCAAAAACGCAGATATAATTTTCAACTGTCTTTTATTCTGTTAATACAAATCCATGACCCTCAAATTTACAAAAAAAAAAAAAAAAAATCTTAAAAATGAATGAATGAAAAAAACTGTATTTTTCTTGGTCTCCATGTATTTCAGATAAAATAAGTGTATGCATATGTTGCTCTTTAAATGTGAAAGCACCACGTTCTGTGCAAGATTTAGATCTAATCTAATATGATTCATTTTGTATGGGCTTGGTTGTCTGCCTTTCTTCAGCACAGAATCATGGTGACACATCCAGCTGAGCAGCATTTCAGACCAGCTGGAAAAAGTGTCATTTATTCATTATATATTTATTTTTCAAATTTCTCCTCAGGGATTTTTGTGCATATTTTTGGTATAAGATAATAAGCAACTAATGGTAAATTATCACACCAAGTTTTGAAGGCGTACACATCATCAAAACAGAACATTTTGCTAGAGGAGCTTATCACAAACTTTCATGTTAAAACTGGCTAACATGAAAGCAACGACGTAAGATCAACACTTAAAACATAACAAGTAGCCGCTAGATGTGTCGCAGTGTTAAAATCAGCCTGAAGACAAAACAGAAACCCCAGGTCCAGATCTAGTTCCAGCTGTGGTAATTTTTTAGGTCCGTTCTCTACACTGTGAAATAGCTAACGATACAAACATCTCTGAAATATGCACAAGTTCTGGATGTCATTGTTATGGCGAGCTGCAGCTAACCTTTTTCTGGACATCTTTAGCCATGCTGGGCTGAATCCTTAACGGTCCCCAAATCTGTTTTAAAAGTCAGTTTTTTCTCATGAAAGTCAGTGTGTTTTTGAGGTGTAAACAAAGACGAAAATGTAATTTTTGCAAAATCTATCAATGTTATTGTGGACAAAATGCAAGTAATCATTATATTTCAAGACAAACAAATGCAACAAAAATAATTTTTTAGATTAATTTAAGTAACTAACTTTTGGTCAATACATCTGGACATAAATCTTAGAGAAACAACAGACTTTAGGAGTTTTGTAATGGTTTGGAAAGCTAAATTAAAATAAATAACATCTAACTGATTAAAATATATGTAAAATATGAAATTGTCACTGCTGATATATTCCAAGGTTCATGGCAACACATTTGTTTAGTCATAACTATTTGGATGTTTTTAGTTGTGAGTTTTATATGATAATTTGACATTTTGTTTATTATACCAGTTGATTACTTTAGTTAGTGTGAAATTATGCTAAAAATAAATCAAATGTTGCACTTGGATCAAAACTAAACATTTGTTACAGAGGATGCATCAAAGAAACTGAGATGAAAGGGAACTTTGAATGGAACAACAAATGACGCACAATGTAATTTCTTGCAACAATAAAAAGAAACAACTTGTCTATAAACCAGACCAGAATTGTACAAGCACCAGTATAAGTGGACCAGACACCCACATGCAAGCTATCTCCAAAGTGATGTAAGAATGAATGCAGTTCTTATGTCTAGTGGACTGGCTGAAGCCAGAACTCGTCTGAAGTTCTGCTATTTTAAAAACAGACAGAAAAAATACTTTTTTACTTAAATCTAAGTAGGTCATTAGTTAAGAGTGACTCCTGCGAAACTGTTGCAAGTAGTCTGTGCACAAAAAATGGGTGTACTTGTGGCTTAGCATTGATGTTGTCCTCAGGACTTCAGTCGCCCTTTAGCTACACAAGGCTAGTGAAAGATGGGCCATCAATTATTTATAAGGTAGGGATACGAGGAGAGATAAGAGATGTACATTGGGGAGAAGAACAGAGGAGAGACAAGATGAGGAAGAGAGAGGGAGTGAAGGAAGGAAGATGGGGGGCAGCTGAAAAAATAAACAGCCAAATGAGGGATGAGCCAAGAAGGAATGAAGGGGAGTGTATCTGAAAACACTTTGAAGGGAAGATGATG